CACACACACACACACAAACACACACACACACTCATCATTACAGTCACTGAAGGCCAACTCATCCTCATTGTCATCACGTGGAAGAGCCAACTCTGCACTCTTCATATTGCCCTTTCCGTGAAATATTGCTGTATTCATTTTCTAAAAAGAATAATAAATTTTCTTATTCATACATCAATACAACTATACTACAGTGAACACTTCAAATAAATAAATAACTGCAATCATATTATTGAAGTTACTATCTATAAAAAATCACAATGGGGAAATACATTACTTCAATTCCACTGTGGTACAGAGTTGCCATATTGAATTTTTTGAAAATTTACAGTAAAATGGGCAATGTTGATTTTTGAATAAAAATATGTAATTTACTAAACAAAGATGATGCAAAAAAAAATCCCCCTTAAGAAGAGATGTTCAGAAACGAGATTAACAGAGCAATTTCTGGAGCACTTCAACAGGTGTCCTCCATGTGAGGGTGACAGTGGGAAAAAGTGTTTTTGGAGGAACATTCAAATGCCATTTGACTTAAAAACAGCACATCATTGACTACCTTAAGGCCGGCCCTTTTAATTACCTTTTTAATTTTTATTTTTTTTTCAAAATAACAAGGAAATACGTAGAAAGGCAATGTTGATTTTTGAATAAAAATATGTAATTTACTAAACAAAGATGATGCAAAAAAAAATCCCCCTTAAGAAGAGATGTTCAGAAACGAGATTAACAGAGCAATTTCTGGAGCACTTCAACAGGTGTCCTCCATGTGAGGGTGACAGTGGGAAAAAGTGTTTTTGGAGGAACATTCAAATGCCATTTGACTTAAAAACAGCACATCATTGACTACCTTAAGGCCGGCCCTTTTAATTACCTTTTTAATTTTTTTTTTTTTTCAAAATAACAAGGAAATACGTAGAAATTTATTGTTGCCATATGTCAACTCCGTTCCATAGAGGGATATGTGTGTGTGTGTGTGTGTGTGTGTGTGTGTGTGTGTTTTCCACAATGAAAATGAAAAAATGAGTGACTTTCATTGTATGGACAAAAACAGTTTGTTCCACAAAACAAAAGAAAGGCACTGGAACAATGAAGGGTGAGTAAATTATGACAGAATTTTCATTTTTGGGTGAACTATCAATTTTAAGTAAAAAAAAAAAGAGATCTTGTAATACAGCTTTTTATATTAAAAGTAAACGTTTCTGTCAATGCCCTCATAACTATTTTAATAATGCGAAACAAGTTGAATCATCAGGCATATCACTGTTCTCAGATCAGCTTGTGGAGGTAAATGCATTTCGAAACATTTCCTTTCTTTATAAAGCAACTGGAATACAACCAAGATTATGTGATATGGAGAATGATTGAATGTAGCCAGTTGTTCTTTTCAACACCTCTGTCCAGGACTTCCTGTGCTCCTGTGACACCGGACCCTTTAAATCTAGAAAGAGGACAGTGTCTGGAAATACATGAGAAAGATTTGCAGTGCTATCATCTTTAGACAAGAGTGGTCAGTGCCACAAACAATACTGAACTCAAAAGCTAAAAAATTACGGTATTATTAGTATTAATTTGCTGATTTTGTCTATACCTTAAATTGCAAGTTGTAGATGTTATTGTGAGAGATCTTTGATAACCGAACTATTAGGAGTTTTAGAAATGTAAAAAAAAAAAATGTATTTAGCTTTGAAAGAAGTGCAAATGGTTATAAAATAAAAATTGCAAGTTGTAGATGTTATTGTGAGAGATCTTTGATAACCGAACTATTAGGAGTTTTAGAAATGTAAAAAAAAAAATGTATTTAGCTTTGAAAGAAGTGCAAATGGTTATAAAATACATTTATTTGGTAAATGTTTTAATGAATGGATTAATTTGTAAATATTATAAATGGATAGAATAGGCTATAAATGGATTTATTCATTGATTTATAGTTTTTCTTATTCAGAAAACAAGAACAAATCATGCAAAAACAAATCCTGTGACAAGAATTTAGTCTTGGCTATGCACACTCAATGAATGAATGAATGAATGAATGAATGAAGCTGAAGTCGGAAATGAAAACAAACAGTACCATGCGTGTTGTTTAACTTAAGAACAAGATATTAAAGCACTTTCAGTTCTTTGGAAAGATGAGACGACCGTATGCTTTGGAACTAAGATCTGACAGACTCTGTGTAAAGAGGAGCGCTGGCAGCAGCATCCACTGAAGCCACGCAACACCATCGCGTCCGTTTAGAATGACGCACGCATAACTGTGAGACAAAATATGCATCCGACAACTCTCCTCTCTACAGTTTTTAATATACCTACCTAATATGAATGAGAGACAAATTATCATATCCATTGTCAGCCTTCATTCCAAAGTACTAAAAAAAGAGCATATGAAACAGCATATCAAAGATTTGCCATTAATTTAAATTTTTGCATGACAAAAAACACCCCATTCGATCAAAGCGCAGAGAATGAGGTATTATGTAACCCCTAAGCAGCGCCTCTGTGATGCTTTGATTTTAATCAGTGTGCGAATTCAATTCATTTTCGGGGTGGTATGAAGGAATTTTATTTTTTAGGTTGTTTTTCTGGTCTTATAATCTGCGTCTCACGCAACCCAAATTGTTATTTTGCTGGATCAGCACAATTAGATTAGATGAAGTCATAATATGCATTTTAAACAAATGTTTTTGCGCTCTAATGTCATTTTGCCCTTTCACGTGATCCTTCTTGGTGGGTCCTCGTGATTCTTTCCAAGACATGAACTAAATGATTCCAAATTTAATGTGGGCTAGGGGTTACGCGGGAAAATATCTACCATATTGCTTACATATTTTTATGGTTCTTTGTTTTTAAGTTATTTAAGAGCCACACGACATTAGCCTACACAATTTGGTCTGCATTTGACTCAAACGACGACGGTAACGCGATGTTGTTCAGAACGTTTTATATCCATTAAGCACAACTTTCTGATGGAAAATAAAGTAGTGACGTCGGTAGATATTCGTGTATGGTGTTCCAAATAAAACCGTAATGCGCCCAGCTGTTCCCTCCAGAGAACACACTTCAAGTGCTATCCCCCTTCGGAGTGAGCGGGGTATAGTGATGCTCACTTTGGAATGGAATTGTCTCATTATGAAAGCTGTTCGGCGTTGAGCCTGCTGCTGTGCGCACGCGAGAGAATGAACCGGTTGGATAGGATGAAGACGCGCAGCCCGCGTGGGAACGGCACGGGTTAGTTTGCAACGGGCGAACTCCGCTCGCGCGTCAGCAAGACTTCTTACAATTGTCGTCACATTCCGCTCGCAGGGCAACATTTGGCCGTACGCGAGCAAAATCCGAACGTCGATCTGCGCGCAGTAACGCCTCCTCGCTGTCATGTAGGGACTTCATGTGAACGCATTACTGTTGACCGATGGGACACAAACAGAGGGTCACTCTCGGTGTGAGGAGGCAACGTGAAGAGGATCCGCCGTGTTTACAAGGAACGAATCGCTTTGAAGAAGAAACAGAGCAAATAGTGACAGTACTCTCAGAAAAGTTGAGTTCCAGCCGCAGGGGAGCAGGTCGAAACGCTTATCATGTCTAACAGAGAACACTGACTGAGTGTTGCGCGTGACTGGGATCGCGTCTAAATAAACACCTGCCTCCGAGGACCTTAAGAACTCAAACCTGACAGAAGATTATTTACCGAGGATTAAGCGTCCATTTGAATCACTAAATAATAAGGATATATCCGCCTGTATTAATAATAACTCATCTGGAACTGGGTGAAAATGAGACAGCGGTTCAAACGCGCGCAGAATTCACCCGTTTATTTCCAGTTGTAAGCGCTGCCCTGACCATCCTTTGGGTGCATAGCTGTTGTTTTTTTTCAAACAGAGGTCTGTCACCCCGGAGCGGAGCATCCGGACAGCTGCATCTGGAGCAAAGGAGCGCTGTGCTGTTTGAAGGTTTCTGCAGAATAACACTGGAGCAATGAGTCGCATCCCCTATCCACAGGTACGACTATCACGCCATGAAAGCGCACAGTAGCTTAACTGGTCAAATGTCAGTGATTTTAACAGTGAAGCGAATGCAAACATGCTGCAATGCAATGAAAACCTTTTAATTGGTTAACTGTAAATTCCCTTCATATACGGTGTAAAATTGTAGAAGACAACACGTGCAATTTTGTTGTAACACTGTTTAAACTACAACATATAAATTACCTTATAAAAATGCAATACACATACGTGTATGGCAAATTGTTGTTTAAATCATATTTTTTCCCCCTCTAGAAAGAGGCTTTTCCAGAACCCTCACAATCCCACAAACCCACACAATCACAGTTGTTAAGATGGCATTTAAAACGATTCTCCTGATTTGTGTTCAGTGTTATGTGCATTAATGAGTGTTTTATGTTGCATTTTATGTCGCTTTAGTCATATTTGAAGCATTATTTTATTATTGTGTGTATTAACCTAATGGTATTATGTTTGTGTGGGTAACACTGTGCTCTTGTCAGTCTGTTGGTACTAGTGACAGGAACTATAGAGGCTTATTTTTATGCAAGTACATCGTGTGGCTTTCCATTGTATCACTAGTGTTTGGTGTGAGTGCAGTACAGTATCAAATAGATTTTAACGACTCAAGTAGATTGGTATTTTTACAGTGTAATTTACATATACGGTCATAAAAAACATGCCTTTTAACAACGTTTAACAAAGTATTTTTTTACAGTGCACATTTTTGCCATTCAAATTTTTTCCACACTAGTTGCGTTTATTATCATTATTATTATTATTGATATTGGATTTAAAAAGTCTTAAATTGATGTTGGATTTAAAAAGGCTTTTCTTGTCCTAACTTTTGTTCTTTTTTGTTTGTCTTGTTTAAATATAGTAGAATAACACTTGTCATTAAACTATCATTTGACACTGAGATTTTAAGGGAAACAGTGGAGGTAATTAATGACTATCCTTCGACGGGGGAGATCATTGCCAATGTGAGTCAGCAGTGTGTGGGTGTGCTATTGAATTCTGTAGACAGTAAATACAAGCAGGGACAGGACACAATCCCCTGCCAGTCCTCAGCTGAGCCGCAAGACATTTTAAAAGAATGTCAATTCTAGCTTATAATAGAAGCTTGGCAATGCATCACAAGCATATCATAGATTCTAAATAATATAAAACGACATCACTGAAAGGTAAAGAAGAAAAGAGCCTTTATTTTTAGCCTTATAAAGGATGCAGCAAGTTTATTAGTCTCCGCTCTGGACCGTGGCCCAGTTTGGCACCATTACGAAGTAATGTGCTGAAACTCTGACAGTCAAAACATACAAGCTTTCAGCTACCATTAATATGTGTTTTTATCACTTTCAGCGCTGCGGATAGTATTTTTCCCAGAAAAATTATTTGAGTGATGATTGATCGTATATGAGTTTTGAAATACTTAGCGAGTGAAGACACGGTCCTGTGATTTTGGCTTTGCAGCTTTTGCCAGTGTTATGAAATGTCCCATGTGGCTGGCAGGGGTGCAAAGAAGCAATTAGGATTCCATACAACTGCTAATCGACTTATATTTGACTCCTTTTCGTTGCCTCAGCACATCAGCGTGGTTGCTGTGATCTCAGAGGAAATTTTATATTCCAAAAATGCGGTACCCACATTTAATTCCTGACATTTGAAGGCTGACTAACCTTTTTCCAGCAGCTACAGAGGTCAAAAGGTAAGATCTGAGATGATTGACTGGTTGTGCTGATGATTGCGCTAAAATTGAGTCCAGAAGAAAACCGAGCCATCTGTGAAGAAGAAAGGCTTATGAATGTGTAATCATTTCGTTCTCCTCCTCTAGCTCTTTTGATAGCATATTTCCATCATGATGCCGCCGGTTGTTTACAAGTCAATTGTTTGCCCTTCATTTACACCTTGGCACACCTGACGGGAGCTCGGAAGGCATCCTTTACAACCCGTCCTGCAGGAAACGAGAGTCTTTGAGGTCATTCACCCCACAGGACATGTGTTTGTTTGTGTGTTCATAGCACCCCACAGGAAGAATCATTTCACCTGTACACACGACTCCTTCGGCCTGGTTAAGCACCGGAAGCTTTTGTCAAATTACAGTCGACCCAGTGCAGTTCAATAAGCACACAGGTCTAATTAACTCATCACAGAGATGTAAGGAGCGGAAAGGCTTCTCGCTCTCCACAGACCCAACAGCTTCGAGCTGAAGCTTTTAGATACAGACAAGCAACATTTTAGATGCATGCGGTGGGCTTATCAGTTTCTCCTCAAGATGTCACAATTTAAATGTCAGAAGAGCCACAGTCTATGTTGTGCTATTTGTCGCAGTTTGGTTTGCCTATAAATTTGCTGCCTTGATTCATTGTAGCGGTTGTGGCTATTTTGGATTCTTTCACACAATAGTGTACATATTGAATGGTGTACATGTCTCATTATGTTCCGTTTTGAAGAAGAATGCTTGCAGTCTTTTGGGAAAAGTTGAGTCTGTAGAGCTGGAACAACCTTTTTGAGGGTACTGTTGAGGTTTAGGGGTTTCAGACTCATCCAAATGCATTCAGCACTCACTGTGTCTTAGCAACGGCAGGTACAGCCCATTATTTTTGTAGTTTTAATATCCCAGAGGTCAATATCGTGTCTATGATTTAGCATGGTTCATGTACCGCAGTGTCTTTGCATGACTAATCGAACATGTACTGAGTATAAACACAGATGAGGATTCCCAGAGCAGTGAACAACCTCTTAAGTACTTAGAATTGGACTTTGCGTTGGGCCACATTGTTCTTTTTGATGACAGGCTCACTTTCTCATAACCAGTCAAGACGATTATTGTTTTTTATATATGCTGCAATGTAAATGGTGGCTTATTTAGTGCTAAAGCCCTGCTAGGTATTTTGTGTCAGCGCTGTGTCTCTTTTAGGAGCTCTTTCAGTGATTGCTCCTCTGCCGCATCTCCTGGAAATGTAGCTCATAATAATGACGTTAAGTCATTTGGGAGTTCCTTTTCTGAATGTATCCTTTCAAATCCCCTCTGTAATTCTCAAACTCTGAAAACGAGCTTGCTTCCGAGAATTGCAGGATCTCGAGTTTTCCAGCTCGTTGCCATTTAGGGATGGTTTTTATATGCGACCTTACGCTCCTCTGTCACTCAGAATTGAATAGCTTCAGATCATATTGGTCTTGAATTGGTTGTTTAAATATTTCTTGGTTCTCCGCTCTGGGTGTCGTGGGAGAGATTTGGGGAAAGTATGAAACGAATGTTATGAAAACAGAGATTAGAAGCAATTGTTCACATAGCTTTCATCATTGCAAACTGCATTAATGGTATTTTTGTCATTTTCTCATTACCAGAACAGGCCACAGTTTAAATCAGTAATTCCCAACCAAGTCCCAGGGGGTTCCAGAGGGTACTTGGAAACATTTTTGTTCTGCTTCTTTTAAATTGATAAAACAGAAATACTACTATGCAGAATCTATGCAGAATTTAGTAAATGCTACTACTACTACTACTAATAATGGGTTAAATGAAGATCAATCTTATATTGAATCTTATATTTCCGTTCCTTTTTAAGGAAAGAAAGCACAAAGTATCACACAAATTATAGACACGCACACACACACACACACACACACACACACACACACAAATGTATGTGATAAAAAGTGTAACGCTTAATGATATAGTATATACAGTATTCATAAGTTATTCTTTTCAGTCAAATCTTGTTAACAAACTGATTGAACTGGTTCACAAATTCATTCATTAAATGGACTGAATCTGTGAGTGTTTGTATTTTATTTTATTTCTTTCCTTGGTTTGAATGGAGTTCACAATGAGCCAAGAACCTACAAATGCTTGAAAGTGAGTGAACCAAGGGTTTGACTGAAGTTTACCTGCATTATTATCTAAAAATTAATCCACATATACATATACATATTGGTATTGGTGTAAATAATTATGTTAAACAATTCATTTTGGATGAAAGATGTAAATTACTTTTGCTTTTGTTTATTGTAATTGCAAGTTATATTTACGTTCTAAAAGTTTTTATGTTTTGTAGAAGCTGAATCATGACTGCAGTAAACTAAAGTGGGACACATGAAATTGCACAAAAAATTTGCTGAACAAATTGTTCAAATGAACTGGTTAATGGAAAGGAGTCAGATTTTCCATCAGGTTGGGAAATACTGGCTTAAATAGTTTAACATTAGGAAAAGAATGACTTCATAGTAGCTTCTTTCACCAAGAAAGACATAACAGATTTAACGTTGAGCGCTGGCATATCAACCTCACTTAAAGACTTGGTTTTATCACCCCCAGACTGTCGCAGTCAATTTTAAAAGCATATTGAGGGTTATCATAAATCACTTAAATTAATATTGTGCTTTACCTAATAAGGTATTTAGGGAATCGTTGGAAGCTTTTGGACATTTTAAAAGCTGGACGGCTCGCACAAAATGCATTTGTTCTTTAAACTCACTTAATTAGTCTAGGCATGGAGCACAGCCGGTCTGCCTGAAGTGGAGATAGCTGGCAATAGAAAAAGTAAGAATGAAAGTGTGTGTAAAGAGTGCCAAGGCTTATGCAAAAGCTGTATTACATGATAGTGAACATACTCTGATGAAGGGGTCGGTGCATGATTTCAGAGATGGGTTTTTGATGAGGGAACAGGAAGTGCACTTTTGTTAAAGGCTGAATGGCAAGTACTCTGTAAGAGCTGAGGTTGCGGTATAGATTTTGCATGAGTCATTTAAAATGCCTGTGTTTAAAGGGGTCATATGATGCGATTTAAATTTTTCCTTTCTCTTTGGAGTGTTACAAGCTCTTGGTGCATAAAGAAGGTCTGTAAAGTTGCAAAGACTAAAGTCTCAAATCCAAAGAGATATTCTTTATTAAAGTTAAGAGTCAGCCACGCCTACCTAAAACGGCTCGTTCTAACACGCCCCCACATATCTACGTCACTATCTGGGAAGATTTGCATAACGCCACCCAAATGTTCA